TTTATTTATGTGGGTGTTTTGCCTGCATGTATGTCTATGCATGTATGTCAAAAAAAGGTGTTGGATACCCTGGAACTGGAGTTACTAACAGTTGCTAATCATCATTTGAGTGCTAGGTCAGGTATAGTGGTGCTTGCCTTTCATTCCAGCACTTGGAAGGTAGAGGCAGATAGATCTCTGTGAATTCAAGGTGAATCTGGTTTACAGAGTGAGTTCCAAGCCAGGATGAACTACAGAATAAGACTCTAACTCGAAAGCAACAGAGTGCTACATAATGAAAAATAGTGGCAAGTCAATTTTAGGAGAGGAAGAAGTAAGTAAGAGTTATGGTGTGAGAAAGGTATATGGAATTTTTCTTCATATCACTTTGTTTCATTATAAAATAAAAACTACTAAAGGCATTTAAAACTGTTTGTTGAAATGTTAAAGCATGCCGGGCAGTGGTAGCGCACACTTTTAATCCCAGCACTCGGGAGGCAGAGGCAGGCGGATCTCTGTGAGTTCAAGGCCAGCCTGGTCTCTAAAGAGAGCTCCAGGAAAGGCGCAAAGCTACCCAGAGAAACCCTGCCTCGAAAAACCAAAACAAAGAAAAAGAAAAAGAACAAAAATGTTAAAGCACATTCATTACAAAAATGGTTTTATATTGAAAAAATTAATTTTAAAGCTTGTTTAGAAGAACACAAATTGTAGAGAAGACCTTGAAATATTTTAAAATAATAATAATAATAAAAAAAGTCAGGTGTAGTGGAGTCTACCTGTAATTGAGGTAGGAGTTCTTGGTCAGCCTGGGCTATATAATAATAAGGAAAGAACTACTTGGTAACTGTTGGACAGGACATATGGATAGGAACATAGGGAAAACATCATTTCCTCTATACAAGCCACAATAAGCAACCCCAGATGGCTTTGAATATTATAGAAATGTAATAACATAATTGTACATTACAAAGTTAGAAATATTTATGTAATCATAACAGTAAGGCACATCTGAAGGATGACTTTTTATTTTGTTTTCTTTTTTCAGACAGGGGTTCTCTGTTTAACAAACAGTCCCGGCTATCCTGGAACTTCCTTTGCAGGCAAGGCTGGCCTTGAACTCACAAAGATCCACTTGCCTTGGGTTCTAGAATTAAAGGCATGCTCTACCATGCCCAGCTCAAAAAAAATGACTCCGAAGGAAAGATGCAAAGAGCATAGCTTTCATTGCACGACAATTATTTGCAATGCTTGACTAAAGTCCTTTAATAAACAGGAAAATGTAGACATCTCCATAGAGGTTGTATCAAGAGCAAACAACTGAAAAATAAAAGTCAACACAAACAAAATTTCTGACTCAGGATAAATTTAAAATAAAACATTCTTACAACTGTGGAATTACATTTACAAAAGCATCAAATGGTTTTTGTAATTGTCTTTCTGCTTTTATGAAAAAAGCAAAAGTCTCAAAGTTAGGTAGCTGAGGCAGGAATACGGATAGTTCACAGCTAATCTTGAATACATAGCAAAACGTGGTCTCAAAAAAGTAAAGAATGGGGCTGGAGAGATGGCTCAGTGGTTAAGATCACTAGCTGCTCTTCCAGAGGACCTGGGTTCCATTCCCAACAACTACAAGGTAGATTACAACCATCCACAACTCCAGTTCCAACAGATCCAAAGCTCTCTTCTGGCCTCCAAGGACACACCATGCATAAATGTAGTGTACAGACACACATGAAGGCAAAAAATTATATAGTAAATTATATATAAAAAATAGTAAATATATATATATATATATATATATATATATATATATATATATATATATATATATATGAAAAGCAATTATAACTCACCATGCATTTAATTCAATTATTTTACAAATGTATTTGAAATAGCTCTACATGTTCTGCCTATATAATTGAAGTCTTACCTTGATTGGGTCTTGCTACATAGCCCTGGCTGGACTGGTACTATTTTGCTAGTCTGGCCTCTTTTATTTGTGACAATCCTTTTGCCTCAGCCTCCTGAGTGCCACCATAACCAATTTATTTAAAGTCTATTAATAGACAGGACCAACAGGTGGAAAAATGTGTGGTCAGGACTGATGACTTGAGCTCAGTCTCCAGGACCCACACAGTAAAAAGAACCAACTCCCACAAGTGGCCTCCTCTCTATACCACAAGTGCAGACATACACACAATAATAAATTGTTAAAAAATTAGTTTACTGGCAGGTGATATTTAACACTGAGAATCAAAATATGGGGTGCTGAGCCACCAGCCTTCCTCTTTTTTTGGGGGGGGGCACTCAAAATAGTTTCTTTGTGTAGCCTTTGCATCCTGGAATTAGCTCTTTAGACCAGACTGGCCTTGAATTCAGATATCCACCAACCTCTGTCTTCCAAGTGCAGGGATTAAAGTCATGTGCTGCCACCACCAGGTTCCTCATTTGAGTTTTGTCCCAGCTTTTAGGAATTATACCAGCATCCCTATGAAGGAATCTAAGACCCCATTCTGAGTCTGTCTTTTTTTTTTTTTAAAGATTTATTTATTTATTGTGTATACAGTGTTTTGCCTGCATGTATGCCTACAGCCAGAAGAGGGCACCAGATCTCATTACAGATGGTTGTGAGCCACCATGTGGTTGCTGGGAACTGAACTCAGGACCTTCAGAAGAGCAGCCAGTGCTCTTAACCGCTGAGCCATCTCTCCAGCCCTAAGACCCCATTCTGACTCCATGGGCATAACACACACGACACACAGACACACATGCAGGTGAAACAGCCATACACATTAAAATTTAAAAATAAAGCAAAAAACCCCAAGCCACAGGCACGTAAAATGCGCTTAATAAAGAAAGAATATACTGGTTTCAAGGCAGGCAGAAGTGGCACACGCCTACCAGCACTAGGGAGGCAGAGCCAGGTGGATCTCTGTGAGTTCGAGGCCAGCATCGTCTAAAGAGCGAGATCCAGGACAGGCACCAAAACTACACAGAGAAACCTTGTCTCGAAAAACCAAAAACCAAACAAACAAACAAAAAAACCCAAAAAAAATTTAGGAAAAAAAATTTACATATGCTTTGAAAGGAAAAGAAAAAGGGTACAGACAGTCATAAAATATGTAGTTTTAAAATAAAGCCCATAAAAAGAGAATATGAAAGAAAAAAGCCACATAAAGATGGAAAATACAGAGAATCTAGATCCTCTATGTTATTGTGTTATTAAATTTTTTGACTGATAATGAAAGAGCAATAACTGCTAAGAAACACTGGATTATGGAAACTGCTAGATTAAACTAACCTATATATTTTAAAAATATCTTGACTTCAAAATGGAAGTCAAAAGATATGATGTTTTGGGAGAGAGGTTTATGCTTTTATTTCCACTGGAAATGAGAGGCTGTTGATTTATTCCAGGTTAAAGATGATCAAGTTTGATTGAGGACAACTCTCTGAAAATCCTGACTACAAACATAAAGAATTAAACCTACAAGAATTACAAGACACATGATGAATATTTTACCTACTCAAACATAAAACAAAAAATAATATTTGGATGACTTGTATACAATGTACAGTCTATACATGTATTAATACAGAAATGTATGTAATGTAATCTTTAAAAGTTTATGCATTTTCATCACAAGGGGACAAGACACCAATGAAAACAGATGGCCCAGGTGATCCAGCACCTCAAAATGTCTCTGTCACAGTCTCCTCAGAATTCTGCACCCAAAACAGATTCAAGGCTACTGGCTGAGATGGCCCAGCCTCATAAACTACTCCAGCTACGACTTGACAGTTATCCTGATTTTTTTCAGGGTTCCCCCAAAGATACCAGCACCCACAGACAACAGGAAGTAGACTAGAGAACGATGCCCACATTCCCAAGAGATGGGATATGGATGGGTTTTGGTTATTCAATGGATTATGGGTGTTTGTCATTGTTTAAGGTTAAAAGTTGTTATTGGTCATAGTCAGAAAAAAAAGCTCAACAAAAGAGTTAACTTCAAAGATTTCTTTCTAAAGGGAAAAAGGTGAATATTATACAGAAATGATTACATAAAAGAGTAGATTCTTGAATCGACTTTAATCCAAAAACTATTAATCTCAAAAAACTTTATATTGGTATGGATTTTTGTTTATTGATACATATTTAGTCATTTTTGCTACACTATATGTATCTTTCTACTCTTGTTTGAGGTATTGTGTAACTCAATTAAAAATGTATAATTAAAAAATATAGGTTAGTAGTTAGTCATCTATAATAATCAAGCTTATAGTCACATTAGGTATGTTTTCAAGGTTAAACAGATATTTAGAAAGATAGATGGTCTTCAAACACTCCAAAGACCTACAGAATATGGCATTCAATATGTTTAATAACCTAAAGCTTTTCATGACAGTGACACGTCTGCTCCTGGCAACACTAATTTACTTCAAAAGAAGATGATGGGCATCGAAGAACCTCCATATGGAGTTTGCTTGCTTTATGGCAAAAGCTGGTCATTTGGGCAAAGGAATGGCGACTGCCAAACTTTGCCAAGACAAAGTAAGATGGTCCTTCAAAATTCCCTGCTTCTCAGAAATATCTGTTAGATATACTAAGCTTGTAGGCCAAAGTTGGATGCCCCAATGTTACATTTGGGTGACTGTCCAGGCAGCCAGATGTCCCTGTAGTTAGTTGACATTACACCCTTCTGGGGTCTTCAATGGAGTTAAAAGACTGAATAATTAGACTTAAAGTTTTCCTTAGTTATGATAAAAAGGTAAATTAGGTATAAAACTTTAGACTCACAAAGATAAATGATAGAATATTTTCTCTAAATTTGTCAAACACAAATGGACTGGATACTGTAACTGTAATTCTTACTTGATAACTGTTTTTGTTGTATATAATTTTACTATGTTAAATTAAAACATTCCTTTTTTATTTAGAGAAAAAAGGGGAAATGCTGTGGAATAATCCTTTTGTACACTGTGAAAATGTGTTGCTCTTATTGTTAATAAAAAGCTGATTAGTGCTAGCTTTAGCAGCACATATACTAAAGTTGGAACCATACAGAGAAAATTAGCATGGCCCCCGAGCAAGGATGACACACAAATTTGTGAAGCGTTCCATATTTTAAAAAATAAAAAATAAAAATAAAAAAGCTGATTATTCAACAACTAGGCAGGATTTTGGGGGCAGGGAGAATGCTGGGAAGAAGGGCAGAGTCTCAGAAGTCGAGAGCAGACGCAGAGAGAAGCAAGATGAACGTGCCATGTTAAAAGAAGGTCTCACCATATAGCACAGGGTAGATAAGAAATATGGGTTAATTTAAAATGTAAGAGCTAGTAACAAGCCTGAGCTATCAGCTGAGAATTTATAATTAAGTCTCCATGACTGTTATTTGGGAACTGGCAAGCAGGAAAGAAAAGTCCAACTGCAAGTCTCCCAGTGGCTGTATCATTAAAGAAAATGACACTTCCTCCTCCAACAATCAATAGCTTATCAAGAAGAGTCCAGGGGCTACATGGTGGTGACATATCCCTTTAATCCTAGTATTCAGGAGGCATAGGCAGGTGAATCTCTCTGAGTTTGAGGCCAGCCCGGTCGACAGAGTGAATTCCAGGAGATAACCAAAGCTGTTACACAGAGAAATCTTGCCTCGAAACACCAATAAATATGGGGGGGGGGGCTGTAAGGGAGTATTATTCTTGTTCATAGATTCAAAATTACTTGCAAAGAAACATTCTAAAGATCAAAAAAAGTCTGGGCACAGTGCCATGCCTATAAGCTCAGCTCTCAGGAGGCTAAAGCAAGAAGATTACAGTAACTTCAAGGCCAGCATGGTCCAACCCAAAAAGTTCCAAGCCAGGGTAAGCTACAATGTTGGTCCTCTTCTCAGGGGGAAAAAAAAGTCATAGGGATCCTAAAAATAAACTAAAACTAAATTGTCTCCTTGGTATTCAACTACAAAAATGAAATGCTGTAAAATATTACAAAATATGCCGGGCGTTGGTGGCACACGCCTTTAATCCCAGCATTCGGGAGGCAGAGCCAGGCGGATCTCTGTGAGTTCGAGGCCAGCCTGGGCTACCAAGTGAGCTCCAGGAAAGGCGCAAAGCTACACAGAGAAACCCTGTCTCGAAAAACCAAAATATATATATATATATTACAAAATATGGAATTTTATACCCTCACTAATGCATCTGCTTAAATGTACTAGCCACCTCATGATGAAGTTAATTACAAAATTAATAATGAAGACAATGATAAATAGGAATTCTTTCTTATAACATGAATCCTAGATAAAACAAAAATTAGGGAAGCTAGGGAGATAGCTTAGTGGGTAAATTGCTTGTCATTCAAATATGAGGACCTGAATTCAGATCCCCGGAAATTATGTAAAGAGCTAGGTTTGGTGGTACCTGTTTATTATAACCCCAGTGCTGGGGATTCCAGTCAGACAGCCTTGCCAAATCAGCAAGCTCATTCAGACATAGATACTACCTCAAAAAAGAAAACTACAGAGTAACAGTGGCTTCCACACACACATGCACAGAAGTATGCACAACACACACAAATGCACACAAAAATACGTACACATGCATATACCATATAATCACATAAAATTAAATAAAATGTCTTTTGTTGTTTTTATAAAACAGTGTCTCACTGTGTAGCTCTGGCTGTCCTGGAACTCACTCTGTAGACCATGTTGGCCTCAAATTCAGAGACCCACCTGTCTGTCTCTTGAATGTACCTACACCACTGTGCCTAGAATAATTAACTTTTTTTAAAATGATTTATTTATTTTCATTTTATGTACACTGGTGTTTTGCCTGCATTCATGTCTGGGTGAAGGTTTCAGATCCCTTGGAACTGGCATTACAGTGGTGAGCTGCCATGTGGGTTCTGGGAATTGAACCCATGGTCCTCTGTAAGAGCAGCCAGTACTTTTAACCACTAAGCCATCTCTCCAGTTCCCAACTTTTTTTTTTTTAATTAAAAGAGCTATCTGCAGCAGCATTTATCTTCCTATTGAGGATATTTATGTTTAAGATATTTTTTTAAAAAGACTAAAACTTACCAACTAATCTTATTCTTTTTGCTTTAAACTCAAACATGACAAAGAATTAATTCCATGCTAAAAGAAGGCCCAATTTTGAAGCCAAGACAAACTGTCAATACTAATATAGCCACACTGGTAGAAATAGACTTGGAAGAATAGACTTCCCAAGACGGCATTTTAACACTTTCTCTCAACTCTATCCCTTTTGTGACAAGGTGTCAGCTAGCCTAAGGCTGGCCTTGAACTTCCAAAGTAGCAGAGAATGATCTTCCCTCTACCCCATGTACCATCAATCATGCCTAGATTATTATTCTAAGAATAGAATTTCTTTTCTTTTTTTTGGGGGGGGGGTATTTTTTGAGACAGGGTTTCTCTGTGTAATAGCCCTAGTTGTCCTAGAACTACCTCTGTAGACTAGGCTGGCCTCGAACTCACAGAGATCCACCTGCCTCTGCCTCCCAAGTACTGGGATTAAAGGCATGAGCCACCACCGCTGGCTAAGAGGTTTCTAAATAGCAAAAAACAGAGAAACTTACAGTTCATCTCGTTGTCTCTGGGACAGCACCATTTTGGCTGTAATGTCAAGCTTATATGATATAGTGGTATGTCCCTCCAGAAAAATCGAAAGTTTTGTGATCCCTGGATTTGAATTAAATATGCCACTAAGTGGCTTCCACAGAGGAGAAAATGATTCTTTCTCAAGTGAATCCAATCAGCAACCAGGAAGTAGTCAACAAGTAAGGTTCATTCCACCTAAAGAGAAAAGAAAAAAAGAAAAAAAGAAAATTATTTCTCTCATTTAAAATTTGTATTATTTCTTTTTTTTTGGTTTATTCGAGACAGGGTTTCTCTGTGTAGCTTTGCGCCTTTCCTGGGACTCACTTGGTAGCCCAGGCTGGCCTCGAACTCACAGAGATCCGCCTGGCTCT